CCTGACAATATCTGTAACAAAAATCATCACCTGAGCTGTGCCTGACAATATCTGTAACAAAAATCCTCACCTGAGCTGTGCCTGACAATATCTGTAACAAAAATCCTCACCTGAGCTGTGCCTGACAATATCTGCAGCAAAAATCCTCACCTGAGCTGTGCCTGACAATATCTGTAACAAAAATCCTCACCTGAGCTGTGCCTGACAATATCTGTAACAAAAATCCTCACCTGAGCTGTGCCTGACAGTATCTGTAACAAAAATCCTCACCTGAGCTGTGCCTGACAATACAACAAAAATCCTCACCCGAGCTGTGCCTGACAATATTTGTAATAAAAATCCTCATGCATGCTGTATGAAACTTCTTTGGTAGAAAAACTCCCAAATCCTCCTTTGTTCATTGTCTCATATCCCCAAGAACTGCTGAAAATGTTAAAAATTTTGAACAGAATTTGAAATACAGGAGAAAGTTGTGTTTTAGGATAATCCCCTTCATCTCAGGAGAACAAACACCTCTAAATTTCACACAAATAATGCACAAAGCTCACCTGAGCCATAGTAGGAGACCAGACTTACCTGACAGCAGGTTCAGGGAAGGTTATAAAGGCACCAGCTATGAGAAAAGCCCCAGACTGCATCAAAAACCAGATGAACTCAAGCCTAACCTTCATCCTGCTGCCTCCTTTTGAGGTTTAGATCCTGACATGAAGAGGACCAAAGCCAATCTGTGGATTTAATCTCCTCCATGGTGTTTAAACACAAAACCCCAGCCTTGTGGTGCTGCAGCAGCTCTGTGACCAGGGGGCTCCTAGCTGCCTGACACAGGGGGTGTGTCACTGGCCTGACATCATCCCTCAAGGAATGTCCCCTGGATGCCCTGGGAATAAGGATTTCCCCCATGGCTCATTATCTGGGCTATTTAATTAGCCCTAGACAAGCCTAGATGGGAACACAGATATCAGAATTTGGACTTGAAGGGATTTCATGTTGAGTTAACAGAGCTAAAACAACAAAATCTTTCATTGCTTAACTTCAAAAAAGAGTTCCAGGAGCACTAAAGCAGAAGAACTTTCAAGAAACAGCAGCATATTTGGGTTGTCTGGTGCTACTAAAGTGCAAGCTGAACCTCTCAGGGATGAAGCATTTCTGTTTTCCCCTCCCTCCTGCACGGGTGTCTCTCATCTGACAGGAGCCAAGTCTAGGCCACGGATTTGATGTTTTCCTCCTCTCCAACATAAAAGTTCCCAGTAAATTTATGCCTCAGATCTCAGCTCTGCTGTCAAACGTGGCTAAAATTAGAAAATGATTTTATAAAAAGAGAGAGGGAGGAAAAAGATGGTTTCCCTAAGTGTTTTGATCAGGAAGCAGGTTACTAGGCAGGGATTGCCAGAAGGAAAACAACAACCAGGAGGAAAACAAAGAAAACCCCGAAGTGGGGAGGAACACAGGCAGCAGCCAGGGGGGCTGGAATCCTCCAGGATGGCATTTCCAGGCTGGGGAGCTGTCCCAAAGCCAGGCCGTCCCCGTGGGCTCAGTGTAATCAGGCACTGCAGAGCCCCTTCACGTCTGCGCGGGGCCGCTCGTTAGCATAAGAGCCATCAGTAATTAATTTCCGGCGTGATGTCAGCTGGAGCAGCAGTGCCAAGGCAGTGTCCTTGTCACACCCCCTGGCTGTCTGCGCCCATCTCCCTGATTAGGATGCACCAGGTTTAATGCAATCTGCCAGCAAGAGCCAGGGAGCTCAGGACTAAATGAGGAAAGATGTCCTGTGGTGGTGTTCAGGGGTCTCAGGATGAGGGAAGAGATGAGAATGTTGACTCTATGTTTCAAAAGGCTGATTTATTATTTTATTATATATATTCTATTAAAACTATACCAAAAGAAGAGAAGGATTTCATCAGAAAGCATGCAAAGAAGGAAAAAGAATGATAACAAAAGCTTGTGTCTGACCAGGAGTCCGAGCCAGCTGACTGTGATTGGCCATTAATTAGAAACAACCATCACAGATGCACCTGTTGCATTCCACAGCAGCAGATAATCATTGTTTACATTTTGTTCCTGAGGCCTCTCAGCTTTTCAGGAGGAAAAATCCTAGAGGAAAGGATTTTTCATCAAACATGTCTGTGACAATGTCTGGCTTTACTGAGCAGAACTCGGGACTGGGGAGGTTCCTTGTCGGGACCCAGGACATTCCTCTGGCTGCCCTGGGTGATTTGAGACCCTGGCAAGGGGTTTAGACACCTTGGCACAGAGTCACAAACACCTGTGCCTTTGATTTTAGCCCATGGAAACAATTACCAACTTTGTGTGAAGATTTACAAGCCACAAGAGTTTGAGTAGAATGATGGTGAATTTGTCACAGGGTGAAAAAGTAGAATTCCGGGGTTTTAGAATGGGGGTTCAAGGGGCAATATGGAGGAATCTGGGTGTGTCCTGTCCTCCTTCTTCTTCTTCTTGTCCTCCATCTTCTGCTGTGATGGTGGCACTTCTGGACTGGTTTAGAGTAGAGACAGAGTGTCTAACATAGGTGATAGGTACTGGAAAATTATTGCAAATAATGTACACATAGTTTTTAGCATAAAAAGGTAACACCGCCCCAAGGGCAGGGACTGTGCCACAAACTGACCTGCTGGACAGATGTCAGCGGGTCAGAGAGAGAATGTAACAGATAAGAGAAAATAAACAACCTTGAAAAGCAGAACTGAGGAATCTCAACTTCTTCGGTCATGGGGCTGGCAAAAAAGAGACTTTCTAACACCTCAGGGTCACCTCAACCACCGAAACCTGAGGGTTTCTCTGTTCTTTAAGAGGCAGAAAGGTGATCACTGGGGTAATGCTCCCAAATGAGGCAATTTCACCTCCTGCCCTCCTACCTCTGGAGGGAAAAGAGCTGGGTTAGGACAGCAGAGAAATGAATGAAGTCAGCACAGCTCGCAGCATCTCAGCCCTCCAGGTATTTATGGGGGTTTTAAGGGGAATGAGATGCAGCTGAACACATTCATCCCTTACAGAGGAAGCCCTACATAAAGCTTTCCCATTCCAGTCCCTTGCCAAGGGAAATCCTGCATTTTTACACTCCAGACCACAGAAGTATGCAGTGGGTGCTCCACTCTTGCTCCTTCCCTCACTGCTGACAGCCTCAGTGTAACACAAAAATGGAATGAAACCAGGGACTGGAAAAGCGAGGCAAGGTGCAGGAGAGGGACAGGAACTCCCCCCAAGGCATCTGGAGACACCAAAATCCCCTCACAGTCTGGCCAAATACTCAAGAGCACAGCACAAAAGCATCCCCCTCCTAAGGGTGCTCATTTGCCTGACACTGCTCAGGATGCCCAGAGAGGCTGAGGGATGGTTTGGGATTTTGGGCTGTTTCCTGGGGTTTTTAGGTGGGATTTTTGAGATGAGTTCCCCTGATGCCATTGATGCAGCACAGACAGAGCTGAGCCCTGCTGAGGAGCAGAGGGTGCACAGTGAACCCAGCTGGCTGAATGTCAGATTATGCTTTTGTCTGACCTAGAGATGGATGGGGCAACTGAGAGGTGTTTTAAAAACTTCTGTTCTATTTTTAGTCTCTTGTGAAGGATGAGACAATACAGATATTATAATTTACACGACCACAATTAGAAGCTAATTATTTCTTAATTACAATATAGTATAAGTGGTTTTTGACTTATTAATTTTTACCACACTATGCCACAAATGTCTTAAACTAATAATCTAAAATTACTCTTCATAAATCTTACTACAATATATTTTTCATAATTCAATTTCCCTAAAGTATCTTATTTATAAAGCCATCTTTTAAAAGTTGTTTCTAGTTCTATTTCTCAACAATATTTATCTTATCCCATAGTATTTCTAAGTCAGTATTTCCTATCTCAAAGTTTACATACAGTTACATACTGTGTAAACCTTGTGTCAAACTTTAAAAATTCTCTACAAATTCCCACAGCTAAACAGTAAACCCTCACTTCAGCCCACAGAAGAACACAAAGCAGCATCAGATTATTTAATTGGATTGTTTTCTCCCTACTCTCAAAAGCTGGAGAGGAGGGAAAGAAGTCCTCAGCATGAATTCCTTTTTCCTTAATTACAAAGGTGTAAAAATCCTCTCAGAAAATAATGCCAGTACCTGGTTGGGCTCTAAAATTACTCTTCATAAGTCTTGCTACAATATATTTTTCATAATTCTATTTCCTTAAAGTATCTAATCTTATTTATAAAACCATCCTTTGAAACTTGTTTCTAGTTCTATTTCTCTCTCAACAATATTTATCTTATTCCATAGTATTTCTAAGTCAGTATTTCCTATCTCAAAGTTTACATACAGATACACACTACGTGAATCTTGTGTCAAACTTTACAAATTCATTTCCCACAGATGAACAATAATCCCTCACCTCAGCCCACAGAAGAACACAAAGCAACATCAGATTATTGCATTGAATTATTTTCTCTCTACTCTCAAAAGCTGGAGAGCAGGGAAAGAAGTCATCAGCATGAACTCCTTTTTCCTTAATTACAAAGGTGTAAAAATCCTCTCAGAAAATAATGCCAGTGCCTGGTTGGGCTCTAAAATTACTCTTCATAAGTCTTACTACAATATATTTGTCATAATTCTATTTCCTTAAAGTATCTAATCTTATTCACAAAGCCATCCTTTGAAACTTGTTTCTAGTTCTATTTCCTTCTGAACAATATCAATCTTATTCCATAGTATTTCTAAGTGAATATTTCCTATCTCAAAGTTTACATACAGATACATACTATGTAAGTCTTGTGTCAAACATTAAAAATTCTCCACAAATTCATTTCCCACAGCTGAACAATAATCCCTCACTTCAGCCCACAGAAGAACACAAAGCAGCATCAGATTATTGACTGAATTTTCTTCTCTTTACTCTCAAAAGCTGGAGAGCAGGGAAAGAAGCCCTCAGCATGAACTCCTTTTTCCTTAATTACAAAGGTGTAAAAATCCTCTCAGAAAATAATGGCAGTACCTGGTTGGGCTCATTCAATAGCCAGCCAAAGGTTTTGATGCCAAAGGCAGCCTCGTGAGCAGCCACATCAAGGCAGGTGACAGGCTGGCCATAGACTGAGTGCAGAATCCTGCCAGGAGCTTCAGCTTTCAGCAGATACACAATGTCCTCTGCAGCTGCCACTGCCACCGGGTTCCCCGTCACATCTGGAACCAGATTAAGGAAGTTGACCTAAAAAGAGCAGACTTTTTATTTTATTTTTTTATTTTAATTTATTCTAATACAGTCAAAAATTCTTTTGCATCACTAGTGCCACATGCTGAACCGAACAAACTACTCATGTGTGTCCTGAATCATCTCAGCCATGGATTAATTCCACACAAAGACCAAGCATCAAGCTTGTTTCTGAACTGCAAGACTGACTGAGCTTTGGAGGGGGGATTAATCAGGAGTGGTTTAAATCAATTCACACCCTTTAACTGCACAGCTTCCTCCTACAGGATAGAGGCTGCAAGACTCAATTATTCCTACACACTTCCTTCCCCTTTCAAACAAATGCTGATACTCTGAGACAAAACAAAACTTCAGAAAAACGAGTTTTAATTACAACTCTCAAAACTTCAGTGACAGAAGGTGCAACCTAAAGAAGCTGCATGAGTAGTTACAGCTTCACAAGTGACACTATTAGGCTGCCTGCAATATCCTGCCTCAGAATTAATCAGATAGTGTGGATCTGGAATGAGACCTTGAGTTTCAGCTCCAATTCTGTGCGAGAAAACTGATTTACAAAATGAGCCAGCTTAGTTTACTGTTGACAAAAAAAAAAAAAAAAAAAAAAAAAAAAAAATTAAAAGAAACCTAAAATACCCAGCCAACCTCCTGCACCATATGGACTTGTGTTCATTTTCACTCCTAGTTTAAGCCAGCAGTTCACCCTTGCTCTTCAGGGATGGAAGACTCACCCTGAACCTGCTCCAAAGTCAGAGCCTCGAGCTGATCTAGCGGAGCTCCTGTAAGGAAGCAGAGCAGCCTGGAGACTCACCAGTTTCTGGATTTCAAAGGTCCCTGGGGTTTGCCAGAATCCTCTGTCGTCGGGGCTCTCCAGCCTGACCTGGAAGCCGGAGGCCGTGGCCACGGCGGCGCCGCCCGGGGCCAGCGCCAGCGCCTGGAGGTGCTGGTTGTGCTGGAAGTGATGGATGGGCTCCTGGCCCAGCAGCAGGCTCCAAACACTGACAGTGCCTGTACAGAGGAAATGGGGTTAGCTCAGCTCTGACACAACCTTCAGCAAGCCTTCAAACAGCTGCAAGTGGAGCTGGTGGAACAATGGAACACACGGGGAAGAGATGGGGCAGGACGGCTGAAATTCAGGGTGCTGAGGTTCCTCTGGCCATGGGTCACAGGAGAATTTATGTGCTCTGGCCTGAAGCTGAGAGAGGGGAGGTATAGAGGGGATATTGGGAAGGGATTGTTCCCTGGGAGGGTGCCCAGAGCAGCTGGGGCTGCCCCTGGATCTCTGGCAGTGTCCAAGGTGTGGCTGGACATTGGGGCTTGGAGTCACCTGGGATAGTGGGAGGTGTCCCTGCCCATGGCAGAGGTGAAATGGGATGTGCTTTAAGGTCCCTTCCAACCCAAACCCATCTGTGATTCCAGGCTCTATTGCTCTGTACCTAATTCCTAATTTCTGACTGTCCAATGACATTAGCAGCTACCTTGAGGAAGACTCTGACTTCTCTCACATTTCCACGTTTGGAGATCAGATGCAAACAGACACCTGAAATTTTGTTCTATTATAGAGAGGCCCTCAATTACCCCAAAACCAGTGAGGAAGAATCCACACTCCAATTTTAAGTCATTTTGCTCATGGTTCACAGAATCACAGAATATCCTGAGCAGGAGGGACCCACAGGGATCATCCTGCCCAACAATCCCACCCTGTCCATCCCTGGCAGTGCTGCCCAAAGGCTCCTGGAGCTCTGGCAGCCTCGGGGCCGTGCCCATTCCCTGGGCAGCCTGGGCAGTGCCAGCACCCTCTGGGGGAAGAACCTTGCCCTGAGCTCCATCTAAACCTCCCAACACAACTCCATTCCCTGGGTCCTGTCCCTGGTCACCACAGAGAAAAGCTAAAGAATACAAATCCTAAAGATAAAGGAGTGCAAGTCAAAAGAAAACATATTTATAATTGCATTTTTTCCAGCCTGGCTCCCCAGTTCTCTATTTAAAAGCATCATAATCTGAGTAAGAGCAACCTGAGGCAATCAGGAGGGAACCAGAAGGGAATTGAAGCCTTCTGGGCCACCTTTGCACTGAATTGAGAAGCAATCTTCCAGCATGACAGGCAGGGCTGGAGAAGGCTCCCTTGCAGAGGAGCACGTTAATGATGAAATGATTAATGGCAGCTCTTCCTTCAGAAGGAGACATAAAAGCCCTGACAGACAGCTGTGGATGGGCACCACTGCCAGTTTGCAAACACTCCTCCCCAGTCCCAGAGGAGGTGAAGCAAGAGTGTGGTAATGAAACTGCACATAGTGAAATGGTAGCTAAATGAGTTTAAATTGATTTATGGTAGCTTTTGTAAAGATTATTTGGTATCTGGAAAGTGCTACCCATGTGAAATAATGCAGATAATCCTTAAGATCCCTGTCTAATGGCACTCCCACTGAATATTTATATTCCTCACCATGGGAATGAGTACCATAATGGGGACCATTTTTGTTTTATTAGGGATGAATATTTAAATTAATCTGCTATTTGCCTAAACAATTAGCTGCCTCTGTTTGTTTACACAAAGCCAAAACTGCAATTAGGCTTCCATCAGAAAGATCAGTCCCGACTAAAACTGTCCCGACGGAGCCGTAAGGGCTTCGAGCAGAACTTCCCAAAATGACTTCTTAGCATAATGGTAATTATGTTAATTGCTTGAAAGGTAAATAACTGCTGAACTGGGTCTGCAAAACAGACTGGTTGCACACAGCTTCAAACCAGTTAACAAATCCAAGTGGGCAGCACAGGCTGCACCCTCAGAGCAAAGGGATGGAGAGGTCTCACCTCCAGGAGCCAGGAAAAACCCCATCAGTGATAAACTGGTATCAGACACAGGGAGTCAGAACTGGACTTTTGTGTCAGACCATGGGTTTGGCTGCCAGGCTCCTCCAAGCAGGAGGATTTTCAATTTTTGTTCAGCAGAAAATGTATCTCAATTAAATATCAGACTCATGAAGAGGAAAAACGAGGTTGATTTGCTTTCAGCGAAACCTTTTGTTTACACGTCTGTGGTGAACAGTGTCTAAATGGATGAAAGTCCTGGGAAAAAGAATAAAATATTCTGACCACAGGAGCAAACTGAGAAACCCAGAGCTCAGGGTTCTGCTCTCCAATTTTGGGCAGCAAGCCACAAATTATTATTACTATTATTATTATATCTCAAACATGTCAAAATCTGTCCAAAAGAAAATATTTTAACCAGGCAAACACAGAGTGTACAACAACAGATATGTACAATGTAATGCCCATAAAATGATACATGATATGGGCAAAACAATCCTAGTAATCTTAAAAAAAAAAGGGACTTGTTAACAAATCCAAGTGGGCAGCACAGGCTGCACCCCATGCAGCCCCTCTGCAGGGCTGAGCTGGGGCTGCTCCTCCCCAAGGCAAAGGGATGGGGAGGTTTCACCTCCAGGAGAGATGATTCAGCCAGGAAAAACCCCATCAGTGATAAACTGGTATCAGACACAGGGAGTCAGAACTGGACTTTTGTATCAGACCATGGGTTTGGCTGCCAGGCTCCTCCAAGCAGGAGGATTTTCAATTTTTGTTCAGCAGAAAATGTATCTCAATTAAATATCAGACTCATGAAGAGGAAAAACAAGGCTGATTTGCTTTCAGTGAATGCTTTTGTTTACACATCTCTGTGATGAACATTCCACTGGGTTTAACAGTGTCTAAATGGATGAAAGTTCTGGAAAAAAATAAAATATTCTGACCACAGGAGCAAACTGAGAAACCCAGAGCTCAGGGTTCTGCTCTCCAATTTTGGGCAACAAGCCACAAATTATTATTATTACTATTATTACTACTACTACTACTAATACTGTTTATTATTACTATTATTACTATTATTATTGTTATTGCATCTCAAACATGTCAAAATCTGTCCAAAAGAAAATATTATAATCAGGCAAACACAGAGTGTACAAACACAGATATGTGCATTGTATTGCCCATATAATGATACATGATATGGGAAAAACATTCATGGTAATCTAAACAAAAAGTGACTTGTAAGGTCACAAATTCACATGTGATGAAGGAGCAGAAAGTAAAGAGTAACTTGGAGAGTTCAAAGAATATCCTGAATTGGAAGGGATCCACAAGGATCAGGACAGAAGGAAAACAGAAAAAGCAAACACTCCACTGGATTTATAAATAGGTAAAGCTGCTATGAGGGCTAAAAGTGCTGCTCAGAATATTCTGCATTTCACTGCAGAAACAACAAAAGGTATTTATGGGTGTGCAAGTCCTTGCAGCAGTCAATCACGTTTGGGTAAGAGCAAAAAATCCCACACCATTCCAGTTCAGGTTATTAGTGTGGCACTAAAAAAAATCATGCTAAGATTTAGCAGTGCAGATGAGATTACTGCTCTCCACAGTCTGCCTTCCTGCCTCCAGCACTGCCCAGCACCTCATTTCCACAGCAATTCCTCTGCTGAGGTGAAGTTAAGGTTGCAGCCATATGTTATCTTCTTTATTTTTTATAATACTGAAATCTTACCAAGTGTTAGAAGGTCAGAAAATTAAAATTACAAGCAGCGGTTTCACAGCACGCTAAAATCTGCACCATAATTGTGATTATTCCAACTGAACTCCAACAGTAACACCCCAAAATTATTTAGAATTATGAGCAAGCTGGAAAGTCATCATGGCTCATGAAAAGAAGTGCAAGAAGCTGCTGCTGCTTCTGTAATGCTGACATTCAATGTGACAATCACTGCACCAGCCTCGTTTATCACCCTGCCCCAGATTTAACAAAAAATTCAACTCCTAACCCATATATTTCTGAATTGTGGCCTGCTGAAAGGTCCATTTATTGCCACTGACTCCAGACTGGAAAGTCCTTGGATAGAACATTGAGCAGGAGGTGCTGTGCCTCAGAGTGCAGTGCTGGTCCTGACTGAACCCCACATTTTGGGAGCATCACCAGCCCTGCACAGCTCGTGCTGTGTCAAAGGTGGGAGGCTGGAGCTCCTCTCTCTCCACCAGCAGTGCTGGCAGCACAAAAGACATCCTGCAAAAGCAGCTGTTACATCTGTTTCCACACAGGTTTTTCTCTGCTATTACAGGCAATGCATTTGTTACAAAATTAAACAAACCCAAGTATCTTTTTTCCTTTAAAATCCCCTAATCCTCCAACAGGGCAAGGCAGCACAACCACAGAGCAAACAGAGTTAAATCTCATTTGTAAATATTATGCTGGCTGTGTCTGGCAGTGTCACAGAGCCTGTCTGAGCCCCTCCTGAGCTGGGCACAGCTGGCACTGCCCACCTGAGCTGCCTGCTTGGGGAGCTTGGATGTGAGTGTGGAAGATCCCAGCTCGGATCCTAAAGACCCTTTGCATCAGTTCTTCCACATTAAAACCAGCATTTTCTGTCAGCTGGTGGCTGCTGCCAGCTTTGGAAGAGGTGTAAAGCAACCTACATGTGCATTATCTGAAAAAAAAAAACATTAAAACCCCAGAATTTTGTCTGTGCTGGAGCAGGGAATCCAAATGTGCTCATGGTTTACAAGTCAATTCCCTTCAGCTTCTAAACACAACAGCCTGGGAAGGCCAGAAGGTGCTGAATTCACATCATCTCCATGCTGCTTGTCCTGTTTCAGAGCTGTGGTCTTGCCACCTTGATTTAAATAAAATAAAACTCTATTTCACCTTTTGAAAACCCTTGGAATTGATGATCCTTGTGGGTCCCTTCCAACTCAGGCTATTCTGTGATTCTCTGGCTCCATACAGGTGGGGTTTTTTTGCTCCAAAGTGGGAATATGAATTTATTTCCTTATAATTTTCAGCTATATCATATCTCTATGAAGTACAACCAATATAAGAAAAGCATGGGTGGAAATGAGCACCAGCCTGGAGGATCAAAACTTGTTGCTGTGAATTTTTGAGTTTTTCCCAAAAACATTTCTAGTTGTGTTTTGGTAAACACTAATTTAACCTTAGTAGATACTTGAAGTTCATTAACCAACATTTTACATTTAATTTTCACTTCCAGCAGGTCCTGAGGGTACAAATAGTGAGATCAAACCTCAGTGACAAGGGCCTTTTACTCACACTACCATTACCACACCAGTTCCCACCAAATGTTCCCAGATTTTACCCCCACCACCCTTCTTCCAGGGATTTCCACACAACACCATCCCTCAGAGAAGGCACAGACCCTGTTTCATTCCCAGTGTGGGGAATGGGATGACTGGGATGGGAAATCACACTCCACTCACCCAAACCAAGAGATCTGCACCCAATGGGAATAAACATCCCAGCCCCTCTCCTGCAGTTTTCTTCTGACATTTTTCCTTCACTCCAGCCAGCCTGGAATGCTCCTGCTCTCTTGGAGCACATCCTGGCACTCAGGGACACCAAACCCATCACTCTGCAAAGAGGGTACAGAAGGGACAACACCCCCAGGCAGCTTTAGGGGCACCAGAAAGGACAAGAGCACAGAAATCCAAAAAGCAGCACTGCCAAAATTCCCCTCCTGGAGGCTGCAGCAGGCAGGAGCACCTCTGACCCTGCAGCAAGCACCCTCCTGTGCTTCCCCTGCAGCTCGGGAAGCCACCAGCTCCTCACAGTGGGCCTGAGGGGGTACAAGCAGGGCAGCAGGGCCGTGCTCCCCACCGTGCCTGCAGCAGGGTGGCCGTGGCATTTAAAGGCCAGCAGGAAAAAGTTCTGTTCTCCTGTTGCTGCACATTGTTTGCCAGTCAAACCATGCAGCTCCAGAGCGCAGGGGGGAGAGGGATGGCTGAAGCAGACTGCTGTTTCCCAAAAGCTGTGGCTCCCAGCCAAAGGCAGGCAAGCATGGAGCAGATGGAGTCCTGGCAAGGCCTCTCCTGTCCCTGCATTAGCAGCATCTGCTCATTACCCAGAACCCTCGCCTGCTTTATCTAATGCTCCAGGAAAAGCATTTTGATTTGATTCATTTCAGTTCGGTAACGTGCAACACAATTAGTGGTAAAATCAAACTGGAGCACTGCCAGTGCTGACAATAGGAAACAAGGCAGAAGAAATATGAGGCCAGTGGGTTGGAATTCAAAAATCACAACTGTGGCTCGGGTTGCCAAGTCCCGTTGCCCCAGGTGTACATCCAGTGCCCCCACTGAGCGCTGGCACGGGCACAGGGAACTTCATTTGCTCCTCATCCATTCCTCCCTCCTCTCCCCGTCCCTGCAGCCTGAGGCTGGCACCATCAGCAACCACAACCCCATTTCCTCCAGGGCCACCATGGAGTGACAACCCACTTTGGACAGGGCATCCCAGGAGGACATCCCCGTGTCCTTGGTGTGCCTGGGGAAGGAGCTGAGGAGCAGAGCAGGGCAGGCAGCGCCTGCCAGCCCTTCCCTGGGATGGGGAAGCAGGGCCAGCACCGCGGGAGCCCTGCGGGACCGGGAGCAGCCAGGGATGGTGTCGGGGCCAGCCAGGGATTCGCCAGGGAAGTCTAGACTGCCTGACAGCACCACCTCCAACACGAGCAGATGGCTCCTCTGGGTTAGTCAAACTTACAAACAAAGAGGAAAGGGAGCTGGAAAAGTACAACAAAGAACAATCAAACACATTATCTTCAAAGCCGTCCGCTCCCTCCCCAAAATTTAAAATAACTCACTCCAGCAAACTGTAAATATGTGCTTTCGGCTTGCAGTTAGTAAACACTGCTAAAATGGGTCTTTTTATTTCCCTATTCCCATAGAAACTAATCTATTCTGACCAAGGCTTCTCAAATCAGAGTAACTGCCATATCACAGAGCCTATTAAAATCTCTACCCAAAAGAATAAAAGACGCCGAGCTTTATGCAAACTAGTTCAGTCACAGCACTGACAGCAAGGGATATGACAGGCAAAAAACCCAGACAAATTATTAGATTAGTCAGTGGGAAACTAGAAAACAAACAAAAGACCCTCTGCTAGTTGTTGTTTGGAACACTGGGGAAAAAAACCAGCACTCAAACCTGTGTTATAATTTATATAATAATATTATTAACACCAGATTTGCTGTTGTCAGAAAATGTTGCCTATTTACAACTTTTACCCACAGAAAACCATCCTGGCATGATCCAAGCTAGAAAAACAGCTAAGGATGTTAAGAATCTTAAAACACATAAAGTATTTAATTTACTTCTAAAATAAAAGTATGGATTAGGGATTGTTTGGATTCTCCACCTTCTGTTTTGTTTTCACCTGTAGACACACCAGGATCAAAGACAGTGTGTGTACAAAGCTCTCTAAACTTACAAATATTCTTTATTTATACCCAAGAGACATTTTGAGTATCAAATTTTACATTTTAAAGATGATGGGAGCTGAGTTCTGCCCAAGCCCCTCAGTTTAGGATCCCAGTCGGCCGGTATTGTCCAAACCTGACTTTTTTAATTGCTGTTCCCACATTCAGAAGATGTTGGTCTCTGGCTCTTGTTGTCCATTATAGAAACCCTCTAAGGATATTTAAAACAATGCACACAACCAGGATTTTATGAGGGTTTCACTACATATTAGGTGAAAGCTTTCATTTCTTTAAATCCAAGTATATAACAACAACCCAGCACTGCAAAGCAACACTTCAGTGCATCCACACACCACGCCAAGAGTGAAAGGGATGGGGATTAATCAGCCATCCAAGTTTACCACCATCCCCATAACAAAGCTCCACAGCACCCCAAGGGAGTTTTGGCCAGAGGAGAAGGCTGGTGGAAGAATATTTAATATTTTTATAGCAAAACAAGTTATTTGCTTAAGATAGCTTGGCTGGACTACAGCCTGGCACTCAAGCTTTGTGCAGCAGCTCCAGTAGGAATTAAAGCTCAGCTTTAATGGGTGCTATGTTCCAATGCCTCCTAATGCATTTAGGGTTATTGGCCAACTTTCTCACATAAAAGCAAGTGTGTGCGTGTGTGTGGATACACAGGATTACAGACACACAAAAAGCTGAGCACAGCTGCTTCATTTTTGTTGAAGCCCTTTTTTTTTTTTTTTTTTTTTGCTGTTGTTTTAATAGGGAGGAGAGTTGTGCTTGCTCACCGTCCTCGTGGGCAGCCACGGCCAGGGAGCTGTTGATCCTCACAAAGGAGACGTGTGGCAGGGCTCCAGCCCCTCCAGGGCCTGCCACTGCTGCCAGCACAGGGGCTCTGTAGTCCCAGGTGCGGGTGTCCCACAGCTTCACCTCCCCTGAGCTGTACCTGCAAAACAAGGGAGCCATCACCCACCTGAGAAATGAATAACGGAGAATTTTTATAACTTGATGGAAAGCTTACGTAGAGAGATAAGAATTGTTTTCTCTTCTTCTCTCTGTGCTTCTCCAGGAAAAATCCTGTGAGAGAAAATTATGTCTCTCTGTTCAGAGGATGTGAATGCCACAACATAGTATGGGTCTGTATGCAAACTGTGCAGATAACCATAGTTATAAAGAACCTGAAGGATTGTGTTGTATAAATTTATCTGACCATTCAAAGTCCATCCAGAAACTAACAGGAAAAATCCTGGCAGAGAAAATTATGTCTCTCTGTTCAGAGGATGTGAATGCCACAGCATAGTAAGGATCTGTATGCAAACTGCATATAATCATAGTTATATAGAATTTGAAGGATTATGTTGTAGAAATTTATCTGACCGTTCAGAGTCCATCCACAAACAAACAGGGAAAATCCTGGGAGAGAAAATTATGTCTCTCTCACATTCTCTATGTTCAGAGAATGTGAATGCCACAACACAGTATGGATCTGTATGCAAACTGAGCAGATAATCATAGTTATAAAGAATCTGAAGGATTGTGTTGTATAAATTTGAAGGATTGTGTTGTATAAATTTATCTGACCATTCAGAGTCCATCCACAAACAAACAGGAAAAATCCTAGGAGAGAAAATGAAGTCTCTCTATGTTCAGAGAATGTGAATGCCACAGCATAGTATGGATCTGTATGCAAACTGCATATAATCATAGTTATAAAGAATCTGAAGGATTGTGTTGTATAAGTTTATCTGACCGTTCAGAGTCCCTCCATAAACAACTTCAAAAACTAAATCATTTTACAAATCAAATTAAAACAGAGGATAGATAATTGTTAGATGACTTGTTTAAAACATAGTTTTACACCTTTACTAAAAAACTTTACAAAATAATTGATTGTTATAGTGAGTTATCACTAATGTTAGTGATAGTGCCTTATTGATTGTTACAGTGACAATGTTAGTGATAGTGCCTCGTACACCTCACTGCACACAGCAAACAATAAACAAAGCCATCAAAGAAGTTTTTTCTGTTCAAGAGAGAGGGGGAAATGTGGGAAATGAATTTGTAGAGAATTCTCAAAGCCTGCCAGAAGGCCCACACAGTGTGCATCTGTATGCAAACCTTGAGATAAGAAATGCTGAGTTAGAAATGCCATGGAATAGGACAGACATTGTTGGGAGAGAAATGGAGCTGGAAACAAGTTTCAAAGGATGGGCTCACAAATAAGACTGGATAGTTTAGAGAAATAGAACTATGAAAGATGTATTGTGGTGGGACCCATGAGGGGCAGTTTTAGATGTTTGGCTTTAAGGCATTTACAGCACGGTGTGGCAAAAGCTGATAGGCCAAGAAACACAAGTGTATTGTAATTAGGAAATAATTAGCTTCTGACTGTGATGGTGTGAATTCTAACATCCGTACTGCCTCACCCTTCTCATGAGACTGAAAATGGAATAAAAGTTTTTAAAATACCTCTCAGTTGCCACATCTCTAAATCAGAAAAATCCATAATCCAATACCAACAACCCCACAGCACCTGCAAGGAGGTGGCTGCAGCAGAAGGGAGGAAGGAACAAGGATGGGTTCAAACAGCTCCCAGACTGATCCTCCCCAGCCCCCTGCACAAAACCATCAGCTTGGCCCATTTTAGCCCCATTTATTGAATGTGGCACAAATTCTACCAGGGCAGGCAGGTAAACTGAAATTGGAGCTACAAGGAATGGTGTGGCCAGCAGGAGCAGGGCAGTGATCCTGGCCCTGTGCTCAGCACTGGTCAGGCTGCACCCTGAGTGCTGTGTCCAGCTCTGGGGCCCTCAGTTTGGGAAGGACATTTAGGGCTGGGGTATGTCCAGAGAAGGGAAACAAGGCTGGTGAGGGGCTTGGAACACAAGTCCCGTGAGGAACTGTGAGTCCTGTGAGCTCCTGAGGGAGCTGGGGTTGTTTAGCATGGAAAAAGAAGGGTCAGGGGTGACCTCATAGGACCCCCTGACAGGAAGCTGTAGCCAGGGAGGATTGGCCTCTTCTCCCAGGTAACAACTGACAGAATGAGAGGACACAAGCTGAGCCATGGGAAGTTTAGACTGAAGATCAGAAAAGAATTCTTCACTGAAAGAGAGACTGTGCCAAGGGAGGTGGTGTATCATTGTCACAGCTTTTAATGAAGGGATGAGACCACAGCTGGGCTAAGAAGGATTTATTGCTCAGATAAACATCAGTCTCAGAGGCTGTGAGATTTTAGAGGAGCAAGCAATCAGCCACAGCTCAAAATGGTCACAAGTTCCTTGTTACAAGACAATACATAACTTTCTAACCCAATGAATAAATGCCACAAGGTTTATTTTGCTTTTCTAACCTATCACCTTTACTTACTTATACTGCACTGAGGGTACTTTTGTCCAATAGGCTTCTGTCTCACAGACACACAGATGCTTCTATTATAAGCTGAGAGTTTAGAAGTTATTCCATACAACCCCACCCCTACATTATAAACTCTTCACCACCCTATTAATGCAGTTTCTCACTTACTTAAAGCACATTCTAACAACTATAGAAACATAAGTTTATTATTTTTCTCCTTAATGTCTCTGTGTTGTATTTTTACATCAATCCAACCTTTTTCTAAGGCTGCAGATCAAACCCTTCAGTGTCTGTGGAAGTTTCTGTTTGTCTGATTCCCACAGCTGTGGAGTCACTGTCCTGGATGTGGCACTCAGTGCCATGGTTCAGCTGATGAGGAGCTGCTGGGTCGCATCACAGGTTGGACTTGATGTTCTCAAAGGTCTTTTCCAACCCAGTTCACTCTGTGATTCTGTGACACACAACTGAGCCACCACAATCAGTATCCACTTTGCAGCTAACACATAGGAAGAGCCAGGCTCAGGAGGGAAAAAGGAAATCAGGAACAAGCCTAAATTACATCATGGTAAAACTTCAAACTGGTTCTTTTCAGTCTTTCAAGATTTCTGGCTTTGTTAAACTAGAGCATTTATCTATGACCACACCAGCACCCACCCAACCTGCTGCTCTTTATAGGAAGAAATTTCTTTTTATAGAAGAAATTTCTTGATGTCTCATCAACAGATTAATTTACCTACATCTCTGAAGACTAATTAATTAATTAATTGATTCAACTAAGTGTTGTCTTTAGAATTAAGGTTCCTTTTTTGCAGGAGGCTCATTAAAATATCACAAAAACGATAATTTAGCATCAGCTTGTCAATAAGGAAATAAAGAAACAGAACTAAACTTTTCAGATAATATTGAATATATCTGAATGAAAGAAGGTTGTTACAGCAAACAATGGATAAACTGCTCTGGGCCATCTATGACCACACAAAAGACTTTTAAAGGGGAAAAAAATCACAGAAAAAGTAGAGAAGCTTCTACAACTAGTCAAAGACCACAGTTCTGTAATTATTTAAGGCCAGTTTTGACAAAACTGTGATAAGTAACATTGTCAGATGTCTTCCTCTGGCATAGCTGGCACTTGGTATTCTTTTGGAAAATCAAAGGTGCTTCCTGTTCTGTCACCTTTGTTGTTACATGCTGACTTTTGGGGGAAAAGTATCATGGAAAAGTGATTCTTACCAGCCTCAGAGGTCTGGTGGTTGGGAGTCTGGCTGCGCTTATGAGGAAAAAACAGTTAATTACAAGAAAAAGAAGGAAAGGAAGGTTTAGGGGACATGGGAGTTGCACTCAGGTTTCCCATTCTCTGGGCAGTGCCATGCCCAGGGCTCCTGGTACTGGGAGCAGATCCCTCCCCACCTCCTGGTGAAAAGGCTCCAATTTACAGAAGGAATTAAAGTGCCCAGGGGGTGGTGAAATCTGTCAGGCAGAGAGAGATGCACATTAATTGATCAGGAGGAGAGGGAAGCCTGTCCTTGTCACTGCCTCCTCTGCTGTGCCTGACAGGGGAGCACCCAGGGAAATGGGAACAGGGTGGGACACTTCTCCCTTTCTCCTTCTCTGCAAAAAAGGCCCAAACCTCTCTGAATCCTGCTTTCATTTCCAATTTACAGCAGCACAATCTAACAAGAAAAGGCCAAGAAAGAAAGATCCCCAAAGCAAAATGTTTCACGTTGGATTGGACATGGAGCACAGATCAGATCACAACAAATCTCCTCAGTTTGCAAAACTAAAAAGGGCTCATTTTGCTTCAAAATCTGGATATAAACCACAACAGGACAGGTGATTGCAGGCCCCTTCAACAAGAGGCACACAATGTTTTGGAAGCATTTTAATTTTGAAGTGATTTTTGTTTCCTTATGTTAGGGTTGGTTGGGGTCGTGTTTTTGAGCTTCTCCTGACTGCCAAGAGCAGCAGATTTCTCCCAAGGGAAGCCAAAATTCTCTTGTCACTGAAAAGTGAGTTCCAGGGGAGACATAAAACACTGGTAGACTGGACAGAACTCAGTGACACAATATTTGTTTTCATCTCTAAATAAACAAGGAAGAACAGCATCTCCTCCTAGTGTAGGTCTCACACAGTCCAGGCTGGAGATGTAAAAACAAAGACTGAGAGAAGGAGAAAATGGCAGGAGGAGAGACCCAGGGCTGGATAATTCTCAGGGCACACTGCACCTGGTTTCCCTACACAGCCTGGAACACAAGGGATCCACCAAAAATAACAATGCATTGACTGCAATCCTGGAATTAGAGAAACAACATCACAGCAGCACAGTAAATCCTTAAATTAATTTTATCTCAGAATTCAACCAAGTCAAAATTTAGTTTGAACTGTTCTCTGCTCATGAAGAACCACCTGAACCACCTCTGAGCCAAGCTCAAACTGGAGCAGCATCACCAAACACTTCCAGCCATTGGTTTGAAATCAATTTGATGATGAAATAAATTCTGATGTGGTGTTGCTGGGACCTGTTTGGCAGGGTCTGCACCAGCCCACCCTGCAGCTTCCTCCTCACTCCTCCACTCCCTGGTGGATCAGCTCATG